GGATGGATGGATGGAACGATGGACAGAAGGAAGGAAGGACGGATGGATGGAAGGAAGGAAAGAAGGATGGACGGACAGTGGAAGGAAGGAAGGAAGGAAGGAAAGATGGATGGATGGAAGGAAGAACAGATGGATGGAAGGAGGGAAGGAAGGAAGGAAGGAAGGACAGACAGACAGACGGACGGACGGGAGGGAGGGAGGATGGATGGACTTGAGGGAGGGAGGACAGACGGACGGACGGGAGGGAGGGAGGGAGGACGGACGGATGGAAGGAAGGACAGAAGGAAGGATGGATGGAAGGAAGGACAGACGGACGGACGGGAGGGAGGGAGGACAGACGGACGGACGGACGTGAGGGAGGGAGGACTGACGGACGGGTGGATGGAAGGATGGATGGAAGGAAGGAAGGAAGGACAGATGGATGGATGGACAGAAGGAAGGAAGGATGGAAAGATGGACGGAAGGAAGGACAGATGGATGGAAGGAAGCAAGGAAGGATGAATGGATGGAAGGATCGACAGAAGGAAGGAAGGAAGGAAGGACAGATGGATGAAAGGAAGCAAGGAAGGATGGATGGATGGAATGATGGACAGAAGGAAGGAAGGAAGGACAGATGGATGGAAGGAAGCAAGGAAGGATGGATGGATGGAAGGTAGGAAAGAAGGATGGATGGACGGTGGAAGGAAGGACAGATGGATGGAAGGAAGCAAGGAAGGAAAAAAGGATGGACGGACGGTGGAAGGAAGGAAGGAAGGAAGGAGAGATGGATGGATGGATGGAAGGAAGGACAGATGGATGGAAGGAGGGAAGGAAGGAAGGACAGACGAACAAAAGGAAGGACGGATGGATGGACAAACGGACGGACAGAAGGAAGGATCAATTCGTTTTGATTGACTAAAGTATAAATTAGAAAGCATGCATAAATAACTTCTGTAAACATAGAAGAATTAATTTGGCGAGATTCTAATTACAGGCTTAAGGCAAAAACAAAACAGGAAATTCTTGAAGTAAACAATAAAAAAACTCCAAACAGAAAAGATAAACTGAAAGAGTAAATGGAACACAAACTTAAAGATCATAATAAAAGTACAGAGGAAACTCAAAGGACATTGTATAACTCTCAGTCATGACAATTACATTTATCTCAATCCTCCTTTTCAATAAAAAAACAACATCATCAGGAGTTTTCAAGAGTTTTTACATTATCCAAACACAAACACCCTTAGAACAATGTATAATTATATGTAGCTCCTTTCAGGCTCTTCTCAGTCTGAACTATTTAAAATGATCAAAATAACTGTTAGAAATGTTCTTTTTTGTTTTTTTCTGAAATAAAAGCAAAGTTAAAAATTTCAAGTTTATTCACTGCAAAAAACTGAAAACTAATTGTCATTTTTTCTTAAAATAAGTTCCTTTTCCTTTAAATTTAAGAGGTAAGTGAGACACTTTGCCAATCGAACAAAACAATTTATATTTGAAATAAGAAAAAATAAGAGTAAAAATATTCCATTAGCAAAACATCTTATTTATCTACTCAAATCAATATATTTCTACTTATTTGTAGATCGTTTTTGCAGTTTTGTGTGTAGAATAATGTACTTTCGAGCTTTATTTTGAGCTTAAGATTTTAAAATGTCCGAATTTCATTGACTATAGAAAGTAGTCTTTGCTTTAGGATGGAATATTTTAGTAGATTAATGATTTGATGGTAGGCAGCTGGTCTATAGATGTTTCCTGAGCATGTCTAATACCAGGTCAACTGCTAGTCTTCCCTCATCGTCGACCCTATGACCTCCCAACCAATTTAATGACAAATGAACCACAACAAGCCTAGAGGAATGTTTGTTATGGTAGCTGTCAAATGTGCAAATTAACCAAGTTGGATTTTTTTGTACATTGTAGTTTGTCCTTCCTGTAGGGCTTCACAGCACATGTTGCATCTAGACCCTCCCCTACCTGTTGTTGCACACTGTCAATCA